GATGATTTGTGATACGATTAAGTACAACAGCAGTAGTGACTACTTCAAGGTCATCACTATGAGGTGATTTCAAAACGCACTTTACAACTCCTTTAGGTTTTGAAATGGGCACCTGGGACAAACCAGTGATTGGTACATTGTACTTGATGCGAGGCAAAAAAGTTTTTGAACGCATGTTTCAGAAATGCATGATATTTGTGAACCTGGATCAATTAGACCTCTAATTTTAACAAATTGTCCAGCTACATTCTGAGCTAAAAGTTGAACAGTGCCCAACAATACATAAGACAAGGTTTCAGTAGACATAACAATTTGAGACGTACAACTGGTTTTGATTTCATTGTCTTGAGTGACAACCTCACCAGCAGAGCTTCTAGGCCTATGTACAGAAGAAAGTTGAGACTCGGGAGTAGTATCCACATGTACCAAAGTGTGATGCCGCTGTGCGCATTTACGACAACTTGATTTTGAACGACATTGTTTACGCATATGTTGACTAGATAAGCAATTAAAACAAGCTTCCTTGGATCTAACAAACTCACGCCTCTGCACTGAGTTCAGTTTTAAAAAGGTCGGACATTTGTAAAGGTTGTGCATATCCGAACAATAAAGGCAAGTAGGTTTATTCCCAGAAGTGTCAAAAGCGGATAAAAATGCTTGCCGGGACGACTCTGCCCTTTTAGGCTGTAGTCTCGATATTTGACTAGATTTTGGCAAATATTTGTCACTAAGCTTATAGGCTACATTAGGCTTAGTAATAGATGACTGACTAGCTATTTCTACTGCATGGCAGTGATTGTTCAAAAATTCTAACAGTTTATCAAAGGTTGGCAGATCTGTTTTGGGACAACTTTCTTCAAACAATTGGCGGGATCTCTTATCTAACTTTCTCAAAGTCAAATGTACTAAAATAAAATCATCAATGTTGTCTGATTTAAAGTTCTTAAGTGCTAGCCTATTTTCAGATACTGTGTCGATCATATGGCGCAAAGCGTTAGGGTTCTCACTAGTGAGACATGGTAAATTCAGCACTTCATCAATGTAAAAATTGGCAAGTACACGCTTGTTGTCATACCTGTCCAAAAGTTTCTTCCAAATGATTGAATAGTTATCATTAGTTACAGGCAACGTTCTAGCTAATGAAAGAGCCTCATTTTTTGTGGAGGACAATAAATAATGAAATTTCTGAATATTTGAAAGTCCACTTTGGTCGTGGATAAGAGATAAAAAGGTGTCTTTAAAACCTGGCCAATCCCACAAAGTACCATCAAAAACTGGCAGACTTATTCTCGGTAAATTCAAATTGTGAACTGAAGTCGAAGCCGCTGGCTCCGGTTCAGGAGTGTTTGGATTGAAGCCTAGTTTGCTTTTCACTGACAAAATTGCATAGTATTTCTCATCAATACCTTCAAGTGATTTTTGCAACTCATTTACGTCAACAGTTATCTCAGCAAGTTTACTTAACTTAATTATTTCATTAATGCACTTGGAGTAGGCTTCATAATGTGAGTCAAGGTTATGTAGCCTAACCTCAAATGTAGAGAAATTTGGTGATTCTTGGCTTAAATCTACTTCTTGGCTTAGCGTGTAAACAGTATCTATTTTTTTTGCTCAGGTTTTCCTTTTTAAAACAAAGGACATCAATTTGAGATTTTAATTCAAGTTTGGCCTTTTCTGAAATAGGCATTTTGCAGGCAAATTGTGTGGGTAGACAACAGGTTCACAAGAAAATTTCAAGTTAGGTTGAGAAATAACTTAGGCCTATCAGACGTAAGCCCGATATAAATATGTGTTAAAACATTAGGCTATAGGCTAGGCCTATGTTCATCCTTGAAAATCCAAAAATAAACTTTAAACAGGCACTAGGCCTAATTCAAGGCAAAGTAGACACTTTTTCATATAGGCTAGGCCAGGCCTATGTTTAGCCAAAACTCAATAAAAAAGGTAAAAAGCAGGAAATATCAATTGGATATGTTTAGCAGCATCTTCAATTGGCATTAAATCACAAGTCGAATCTTCGTTAGGCTAGGCCTAGTTAACAGGTAAATCAAAAGTTGTAACTTACCATAAGATGGGTGTATGGTAGGCCTAATTAGGCTAATAAGACTCAATGTCAAATCCAGTTAATAAATGCAAGATATGTAAGCAAATTAGGCCTATGCTTCTTCAATTGTGTTTATAAGATGATTGTAGATCAAAATTCAATAAAATTCCAACTTCTTTCAAGTCCAAAAACTCCACTTCCTGTACAAACTTGAAGACAACTTGTAGAACTTTGTAGAAACTTGTAGAAGGTAGACAAGTTGAAGATTCCAAAAAATTGGTAAAAATAGAATTCAAATATTGAAAACACACTTCAAAAAGATTTAAATTTGATATTCCTCAAAAGTTAAAATAGTTTTAAAAGCAGTGAACTAATTTAGATTGCAAAATATGAAGTTCAGAAAGTCACATGTTAAAGTTTGAAGTTGAACTATTAACTTGCACACAGTAAAAAATCGACTTTAAAAGTTAAAAAATGTAAATTAAAAGGCGGGTTCAATTAATTATGCGGTTGCGAAGGACCATGTTTTTTAATGCGGGTTGAAAAATAGCAAATTGGTGAAAATTAAATGGTAAAGAAGGAGAGAGCAAAAGAGGTTATGACTCACCCTACATACTCAAATCAAGTGGGCTGAACTCAATCCTCTTCTAGCTAGAGTAGAATATCCTCAGCTTGTTTTTTAGTGCTCATGAAAGGCAGGTATTAGACAGGATTATGGAGTATGTGTGTGCAGTGGAATTGCCAAGAAATAAAGTTTGAAATACTAAACATACAGATTGTAGTGACTATTACAAACTCGAAACTCTCATCAACTAATACAAACACTGTAATAAGTTCAAGTGTTGTGAATTTATGAAAAATACTGAAAAAAAGCTACAATAGTAGGCGTTGTTGCCGACTAGAGTATTAAGTCTCCTCAAACCCATCCATCGTTGGGAATTTCCATGACTTTCCATGACCTTTTGCCTATTTCCATGACTTTCAATGACCAGAATTTTTTTCCATGACTTTCCATGACTTTCCCTGACTATCCCTGACTTTCCAGAATGTGGACACCCTGCTCTACCCCCCTCTCTCTCTCTGACGATGTACTGATTAAACAGATTGTGGTTGACGACTTTTCTACTTATAAGTTTCCCTACGGTTATTTTAGTTCAATCAATCCCACAACCTTTCTATTGCTTATCAAAATAATTAATTAATCTGTTTTGTATTTTATTTCCTTTAAACCAACCCCTATTTACCATCTGTATTTTATAGAATAAAATGTTTGTTTATAAAGTTTGACTGGCCACACAATTTTGTACCTATTTTATTTTGTGTAAAGTAACAGTTACTTTGATGATTATAAATATCAATAAGTGCTGCGTGCTGTAATAAATGCTTTTTATTACCAAAATAAGTAATGAATTATAAATTTTTGATAATACATGGGTCATTGAATACCATAATGTCATGTAGTTTCCTATTTGTAACTTACAAATAATAATAATTGATAGTTAATTCTGGAAAATGAAAAATAGTGAATGCATTCATAGCCCTGTTGTCAAAACAGCAACGCGGGTGTAAGGGTTTATTGTTTCAGAGGCTAGGGTGTTTCAAGGACAAAGTGCTGGGCCTCCCGGCTCAGGGGGGGAGGGGTGGTGGCGAGACTGAGAGAGAAGAGGGGGAGGAAACTGGTTTTGGCTATTTATTGATTAGTTCACTGACCCTTCTAGACAACAAAATTGACAGTGACAGTGTTAAATCACTGTTCTGTATTTCATTTCTTGTTTACTTTGTGTGTTATTCTATAAATTTTAGTGTTTTGGTCTATTTCCTCCTAGTCTCTTGCAAATTGTATTATCAATGCTAAATAATTGTGGTAAATTCAAATTATATTTTTGATTATTCAAATCTCCTACACAAAAAGATAAAAGTCAAACCAGGCAAGGAAAAACCGGCTATTGTAATCCCGTACCCAGCCATTTGGGAAGTGGGAAAGTCGTCTAAATATAGCTCAAAGGCTCACCCTTCCCTTCCCCCCCCCCCCCCAACCCCCTACTCAATGTTGCTCGAGGTCATTGCACAACTCCTCCCTCCCTTCTATTGTTTTGCCTTTATAGTGTTTCTATTCTGACTTTTATAAACATAAATTTATTGCTTACAACAGTTCAGTAGTGGAATTTTCTATTGTGAAACAGTAGGCCTACTTTAAAACAAAATCACTACCGATCATGTCATTCTATTCTGTGTCAAGTCCGTATACCATTGCCAGTCAGTTGCCGGCGACTGCATGAGTTGACCTATTCTGTCGTGACAGCACTAACAGCTATAAAAATAGGTTAGGACAGCTACCTCTTGCTTATTTCTATATTTGTATTACTATAGAATCTACAGTAATACAAATTATTCATCATTTTATGTAAACACAAGTTACATTTCAACAAATATTGATTATTTACAATTTTAAACCAAACTGGCGAGTTCAAAGATAAGCTCAAATTTCAAGGCCGTACTCTACTGGAACTCAAAATCTCGAATACTTGCCCGTTTTGTGTTAATAGTATAAAAAAAATCGGATCCATTAAAACCGGATTCAGCCCAAGATCCGATTTTTTGTGGATCCGATCGGCCGTCGGTTCTAGCTCAAATCCGGTGGATCCGGTAGTCCGATATCTGGATCCGACCATCACTATTTTAAATTCATTCGGCTAAGAAGAAAATGGACAAGAGCCAGGTTGTGATTGATTTTAATGTTCACAAAGAGTATTCCAATGGTAGGCATTGTTTAGTGACTCTTCAATTAGTATAGAAACCCAATACAAATCAGTAAAAAGTAAAATAGGTAATAGGAAGGAAAATAGCTAAAAAGTACTTTTTGGTACCTATCTGTTGTGTGGTACAATAATAAAAATTTTTTGATAACATGGCAAGAAGACATTTTAATTGATTGCAATTTCTTGTAATCACTTACCTGTCCTTCAATATTTTTCAAATTTAACACTGACTGAGAAATATTGTACATTTTCAAGATATACAAAAATCTCAGCATTTCAGGACGAAAGTCTTCACTCGATGACATAATATGAAGTACTCTGAAATTAAAAAAATGTACAGTGTAAGAATGAAATTGTAACTAGAGGTAAACACTAAACAGTAAAATAAATCTCCTTCAAATTTAAAATAAGTAGTCGTTTTTATTGTTTCAAAGATAAAGACCTCCAAAAAACACTATGACCACTATGACTATCTTTGTGCTCTCAATATAATATAAAAGTCCTTTTTCCCTTGACTGTTATAAAAGGGGTTTATACAATGAATCATCCCTGTACTATGATATTAATAATATGTGTTAGTTATATGTGTTATTTTTACACCAAAGTGTAAATTATATTAGGGGTGAGCTGCACGAGACCCCTAGTAAAATATGTGTTAATAATAATGATAGTCAAACATCTTTATTCATAGATCGAGTCGCCGGAATTGTACCCCCCTGGAATTGTACCCCCGGGCGATCGTTGACGTCATTTTGACTTCACGCCTAGGGGGAGTACAATTCCACCCCGTACACTTTGATTTGAACGAAATCTAATCTATTTAGTGTGGGCAAGTGATCAGTGAACCGGATAATTATATTAGATATTAAAAAGAGCAGGAGATGTATGGCCCAGAATTGTACCCCTATGGAATTGTACCCCCTGCCAACATCAAAATATTTACGTACGGGGTAGAATTGTACCCCCCATCAGAAAGCCAAATGTGTACGGGGTGGAATTGTACCCCCCTCTTGGACAGCTAGCTTGGCTTGTGTACGGGCTGGATTGTACCCCCACCCACTCGATAAACTTAATTGGTATTATGAAAATGAAGTAGTAGAGAATGAAACATCTATTCTATATATAATTCAGTTTTAAAAATCTTTGTACAACTAAATCTAGAGTTCTACTGGGCCGATTTTATTAAATAACTAGTGGCTTATAGGGACATAAGTCCCTAAAAAGCTCAAATGTAAAAAAAAAACTTATTGCAATTCCGGTATTCAAACAAACTCAGAATAACATTATCTAGCTATGTGTCAGGATAGTGATAGGTATCCCTGTACACCATATCTTTTGTGTAAAAAACAGTTTGTTGTTTGTCTTTGTTTTCTACTGTTAATGTTATTTTCAAAAAATAATTTGAATGACTCCAGAGGTTTAACATGGAAACATATCACGTTAAGGTGAGAGGTTTAAGGCAGCAAATATACCATTGTTTGTGAATAAATATTGGTTTACTAAGGTAGCTTTGATTTTGTGGTTAATAAGGATAAATAAAAGCTTCCCTGATTGTAGGGTTCCATTACCCAGTTAATGAAACCAATCACGAAATTACTTTTCATCAGCGTCTTTGACATCCATATTTATGGTTAGTTTTAAGAAACAGAAACTACCTCTAGGTTTTATTATTATATATGGATGCTCCCTTTACCACCGTGCGCTAGGCTATATTATTTGAACCTTTTTTGCTTGGAGCAACAGGTAATACCTGGTTAAAATATCCTCCAAACAATATTGTTTTTTCGCCTATTGGAACTTGTCATAGTATTTAATGAACAAATATATTGTTTGTGCGAACCTATTTCATCATTATTCCCAGGTTGTTTTCTAAGAGTGGCGTTGAGGTTATTCCACTGCATACACCATTTTTTGATTAAACAATAAATCTCAAATTAAAAATGCTAGTATACCTATATACAAAGAAGTTTAGAATAAATCTTTAACATATGTTTTGAAATCAAAACAAATCAGAATTTTTCCATTTAATCTTGAATCATTAGTTATTTAGTCAATGTTGTTATTTTGTGTTAAACATTCCTTCAACACAACAATAACCTTTAAATTAGAAATAAATAACTTGCTTTTTTCAGCCATTCTAAGCTTAGTTCCTTCTCCTATGATTCTACTACTTATCATACGCATAACTAATTTACTTAAAAATACACAAACTTTGCAAATTGCACAGTAAAATAATTGATTTCAACATTCTATGACGTAACTAAAAAGTCTTAATTATTACAGGTAACGTTATTCCTGGTTTTATATAGTATACAGTACATTGCAGAATTTACTGGCAAATGAGTAATCCAAATGTAATATTGCTTATTTGCTTAGTGATAAATCACGATCAGCTGTATTGAAGTAAACAAAAATCAGCAGTAAATGACTTCTAATGCTATTCTTATGGAGAACATTTTACCTTATATCTAATTTTGTGTTAACATTATGGGAATTTCACTATTTTTCCCGCCGTCACGGGGTCAAGACCTTTAATTTGAGCCCTCTCCCGGCATTCTACGACTTCCCAGTCGCCCACAATTTTGACACAAAGAATCGGCTTACGTAATTAATATATAGATAGATGGGTCGTTGGAAAGCTTAAGTCGTGTAGATTTGCAAATAATTATGAAAGTTTGTATTTGTTATGATTTATGGTGATAAATTTAAAAAAAAACGTGTTTTCCATAAGAAATACATTGAAAACAGTGTTTTTCACAATTTTTATTTGGGCGCGACTTTTAGCTGCCATTTTTTAATATTTCCAAGAAGTGCATGGTATCAATTTGTAGGAAATTTTATTATCTTTCAGAATATCACCTTCCACTTTGGTCGATTTCCTCACCATTTAAAAGTTATTTGCAAAAAAGCTAAGCAACCTCCGAATTTATAGTAATGAGAAAATATTGAGTTTGGGATATTTTTGTTAAACTTTGTACAACTAAATCTAGACTTCTACTGGACCGATTTTGTTAATTAATGGGTCATTAGAAAGCCTAACCCATGTAGATTTGCAAATAATTATAAAATAGTGATTTTTATAAATATTTGTGGTGAAAAATTAAAAATAACAAAAATACATTAAAAACTGGGTTTTTCAAGTTTCTGTTTTCAAGATTACATTTGTAGCCAGCTTTTGGCTGCCTTTATTAAGTATTTTCAAGAATTGCATAGTAGTCGTCTCCCGCGGCCACGAAAACGTCATTGTCGTCTCCCGCGGGTCACGGAAATATCATCATTGTCTCTTGTGGTCATGGAAACGCTATCGTCGTTTCCCGCAGTCACGGAAATGTCATCGTCATGGGAACGTCATCGTCGTCTCCCGCGGGCACGGGAACGTCATCGTCGTCTTCTGTATATCCTATATTAGGATCCTGTATATCCTATTTAGTCCTAACATAAGTTAAAGAGCTTAGGTTTTCCTGAGCAAGTAGCCATTGCACGTAAGTAGTTACTATGTTTAGTATAGATTGCAAAAAATCCTTGAAAGATTTTGATAACCTTAACTTGTTTATAATTGATTTTCCTTTACAACAAATTAATAAACATAGCAAACACATGGCATATAATTAACACATGACAGCTGCTTCTAACTTAGTACCAAGAAGGCAATGAGGAACAAGATTATAAATAAATTCCAACACCCCTCCTTAATCTTGATCCTTCATTGGGGTAAGACCAAGGTCGGTCATGAAACCATCATGCTTGATTTTGCCAAGTGATTTTGTCAAAATGTCCGCTACCATCCTGGAAGTTGATACGTAATTCAGCACAACTAGTTTTCTCTTGATTATGTCTCTGACAAATAAATAACTGTTTATGAATTATATGTTTGGTCTTGTCATTCACGGTTCTCTTCTGCAAAATCTTCATTGCTGGCATGTTGTCACAATGCAAATTTACATGCTCAAGAAATATTCCCAGCTCTTCCAACAAGTGCTTCAGAAACATTGCTTGCTTGCATGCCTGAACCATTGCTACAAACTCTGACTCTGTTGAGGAATCAGGCATACATCTCTGTTTCTTACTTCCCCAAGACACAGGTCCTTCACTCAGTTTAAAAACATGTCCCGTACAACTTTTCCCATCGAAGTAGTTTCCATGACTGGCATCAACAAAACCATGTAGAGGTTCTTCATCACCTTGCTCCTCCACAGCATGCTTCCACAAATTCTTATTCGGATCTTCTATTGCCTCTTGATAACTACTTGGCTCTAGATCCTCACAGGTAACCATGTAGGTAACAAAATCAGGAAACATTTTAGGTTTTCTTACTGTTAGAGGGTACCTACTCCCAACATTGATTTCAACAACTTCCTCATCATTTCCCGAATCCCCTTCAGCGGATCCTCCAGTTCCAACATCGTCACCATCTTGCTCAATGTCGATATTATCAAGAATGAAGCTCTCCTCTTCTGCCTCAGGATTCCTGCAGGGTTCATCGAGTTTGGCGGTCTGGATGCTTACTATGGTCTCGACTGGTTGTATAGTTTCATCACCATTATTTTCTTCACGCCCATTATAAAATAAGTTTTCAAAAAACTTGACATCTCTAGAATAAATCAATCTACGGGGAGACTTAGGATCGACCAATTTGTAACCTTTGACATCCTCACTGTAACCTACAAAAATGTGAGGAATACTCTTATAGTCCAATTTGGTCATTCTCTCCTTAGGCACATGCACATAGCCTATGCACCCGAAAACTCTAAGGTGACTGAGGTCCACCTTCGATCCAGTCCATTTCTCCTGTGGCGTGACTCCAAAAACAGCTTTTGTAGGACTTCGGTTCTTAAGATAAATAGCTGCCTCCACAGCATACTGCCAGTAACCCTTGCTCAAATTTGAGTCACTTAGCATGCTTCTAGCCTTTTCAATAATAGTTCTATTTGCACGCTCTGCTACCCCATTCTGCTCAGGACTATATCGAGTAGTGACCTGGTGCCTTATTCCAAATCTATTACACACTTCTTCTAGTCTCGCATTCATGTAATCCCCGCCTTCATCTGACCTAACAGTTTTTATAGTCTGGTTGGTCTGATTTTCAACTAAAGTCTTAAACTTAAGAAAACAATCAACTACTTCATCCTTTGATTTCAAGAAATAACCAAAGGTCATTCTGGTGTAGTCATCAATAAATATAAGCATGAAGCGATTACCTTGAAGAGACTGAACATTCATAGGCCCACAGACATCCATATGGATTAACTCTAATTTTGTCTCAGCTCTCTTACTTTGAGTGGTTGGGAAAGATTCTCTGGAGTGTTTCCCCTCTACACAGGGAATGCAAGATTCTGGCCTCTGATTAGGAAAATCTATACCCAAAGCCATCCCCTTTTTCAAAATACCCATGCTAACATGATTCAAGTGACCCAACCTTCTGTGCCATAAATTATGAAGGTCCACACTAACTGACTGGTCAACTTGAGTAGACATAGCCAAATTGTCATAATTTGGATCAATGTTGCATTTACTCTCTGTATCCAACCGATACAGTCCGTTTACATTTGTTCCAGTTCCACAGATTTCACCTCTTACTGAAAACCCATCTTTTATGTAAATATTACACCCTTTGTCATCAAAAACTAAAACTTGCCCTTTACTAGCTATTATGCTCACAGATAGCAAATTTGTAGATAAATCTGGTACATAAGTCACATTCGATATCACTCTCTCACCAAAGTTTTTAAGGTTCACAGAAACTTTCCCAGATCCCGCAGAGTAAATTTTGGTATTATTAGCGACAGTGACCTCTTTAACTCCCTCATTCGAGTTAAACGTTTGAAAACTTTCTTTACTTTTAGAAAGATTGTCAGAACAACACGAGTCTAAGTACCAGCTTTCAGGTTCTACCTTTACATTCAGATCAGTTATCCAACTTACATTTTTATTTTTGTTTTGACCATCTGACTTACCAATTTTGGAAATTGACCTATTACTAATGTTTGAGCTACTACTAAAGTTAGCTTGATTATTTTCAGGACAATCCTTTATCATATGGCCTGCCTTTCTACATTTGTAACAAGTAGGAATAAAAGGCTTTCTTGTCTTTGAGCTTTTATTAGAATTAGCTTGATTAGTATTTGATTTTGATAGAAAAGGCTTCCCAGTACTGCTTTTAAAAGTTGAAAATACTACAGAGGACTCAGTGGTATCCTTTTCAGCCATGCTATTTAATTTTTCTAGTACTTTACTATATTCTACTTTATCTGTACTCTCGACTGCCATCCTAAATGCCCTGTAAGACTCAGGCAAACCTCTTAGAAGTAGACACGCCTTCATTTCATCATCCACGGGTTTCTCTATGTCAGCAAGTTGAGCATTGAGGTCAAGAAATTTAGAAATATACTCACTCATGCTGTTGCATACTTCCAACTTTAAATCTAAAAGCTGGTCCAGCAGAAATATTCTCCTGTTTGTGCTCTTGACTTCATACTGCTTTGCTAAAATGTCCCATGCTTCCTTCGCTGATATGGCCATCCTGACATGTAGTTTTGGAGCTGCCTCCAGGTGCATGGCAATCTTGGCGAGTGCCCTCTCATCTTTGTCTGGATCCACAGTTAGCGGTGTCGTCTCTGCAGTAGTCCTTCGTGGTTCAATGCAATTCCACAATCCCTCATACTTTAGAGCCATCTTCATATCAAATTTCCAACTTGCATAGTTGGCTGACCCTTTCAACTTAGAAATTCCAGGGGCTGATGTGGAGTATTCAACTTTGTCTCCCATCATAGTATAAGTGTTCATTCAATGAAATTTACTATAATATTTCTTAAACACTTCCCTCAAAAATTAAACTGTTCAAAATAGGCCACAGAGAATATGTTACAATAAAAGTGAAACTGGGCCCATAACCACTTGTTTATAATTGATTTTCCTTTATAATAATAGGAGTAAAATGACTACACAGTATGGTTTCTAAAGTCCATAGTGGAAGTGAGGTTTATTTACAACAAATTAATAAACATAGCAAACACATGGCATATAATTAACACATGACAGCTGCTTCTAACTTAGTACCAAGAAGGCAATGAGGAACAAGATTATAAATAAATTCCAACACCTTATAGATAAGGATTATGATGATGTTATTGTGTAGTTTGTTTACAACTAAGGTTGGCTTCCTAACCTCTAACCTAGGTTAGCGATTCCAGGTCAAACTGGTTTATCCCCCCCCCCCCCATTCAAAATAGCCTCGTTACAATATTTATTTTTGCTTGAATTTTAAATTGACTTACCGATCATTAACCTCTCCGACACAGGTTCCAAAGACTTCTGAGAGGTAACGCTTCACAGCATTTTCTGTTATTTTCTTAGTCTTCCTTGAGAATTGCAACAGATTGATAACTTTCACCACTTTTACAACAATATTATTGCTTGTAAGTCCTCTTTGGTCAAAACTATTTTTTTCAAATTCTATTTCCATTCCTGAAAAAAAAATCTTTATCTTAGTACAGTAGCGCTAAATAAAATACCCCCACTGGAGCAAACCTGCAGACTACACAAATTTCCATTTTCCTGATGGGATTTTCCACAAAAATATTTCCTTTAACATGTCAGATTTATTTCTAATTTAAATTACAATAGGTTAGGTTTAACGAGTACTTAGATTTATTGATTTATTAAAGTTATTTTTTTTTTAGAAATTTTAATAACTTAGTATGAAATAATCAATTTGCCAAATTAAGAAGCAAACCAAAAAAGCTTTGTGGATTTTGTTCATTATAAGAATTACATAAAAGTTGTAAATATAGGCTTACAGTTACTGTATTTAGAATTTTTTCTATAACCATTATGCGTACAACGTCTAAGTCAAAGTGCTGAGTTATTGGTTTTATAAGCCCTATATGATGGATGTAATGAAATGATTGGGTATTTTTATGTGTTAAGTAAGGGTAATAATGTTAGAAACCACTTTTAAAATTTCAAAAAACTATAAATAAATTGAAAGTGTCTGATGATACGACCCGATCTAGCTAGTTGGTGAACTCATTTAAGTTTATTCAGCCATTGACATTCATATTCATTTTGATTTCATCAACATCGGACCACAATTGCTTGAGTTATCACAATCATGGGCACATACTATAGGCCTATAGGGAAAAGTTCTGGAACGGAGAAAAAAAAAACAATGAGCTACAAATCTTAGCACAAGGTAACTGGGCATAAAAATCATTAAAGTTCTCTATACGAAAATAAAGAACATCTCAAGTTCTTTCCAATGGTGCCAACCACTTCCTGTTTAGGCCAAAATTAAGACTTAGATGGTACCCGTCAAATGTTGTGGAAAATCAATGGTAAAATTGGTTCGTAATGGTAATATTGGCTACCATTTTGGATAAAGAAGAGATAGCAACCTCTAGTTTTCACCATTCTTTAAGTTTTTGTTAACACTTTAAAATGAGGTATCACTTGAAGGGGGTTTACATTTAAAATATTTGAGTTGCCCCCCAAATCCCCCCTTTTGGGGAGACACTCAAAAGTTTCAAAATCATAAAATGAAACTTCTTGCTAAGATTACACGATCACCAAAAGGATATATCTGTATATTTACTTGGAAAAATATTGGAGGGGGGTCTTGACTTATTATTCATCTGTATAACAAATTTTTAAGAGCGTACTACAGGGCTAAGTCAGCCAGGTAAAAAGGCCGCATCCTCATGCATGAGAGTGTGTGTAGCAGTGAGGGTCACCTAATCCTTCAGCGTCCACTGGGCTCGTGCCAGAGTATAGATTTTGCAATATTTTAATATAAAATACAGTCTGCAATAATATTTACCAGTCGTTTCAGCAGCAGGTGGAGGTTGCTTTTTCTTGAGCTTCGCCCCCATTGCCATTTGATGAGTTTCCACTCCTACTCTCAAGCTGGAAGAACCATCTGTTTCAAACTCATCAGAAAAACTAAGCGGCCACTGCTGCTTATCTTTTAAGCTTGTTACTTCTGATGTTATTCGTGCAATGTCGGTGTCTGCCACTCCATGACATTTGGCCCATTCATTAAAATTACCTGCGCAAGAAATAAATAAGGGTAGGCTATAAAAAGTTTAAGTACAATACATTTACTTGAGTACTTTAATCAGCATTTATAATATCCTTGTAAACTATATACCCTTATTGTACCTTTAAAAAAAGTTGTACCCCTTATTCGACTTAAATATCATACTTTTAAAAGTTGTATCTCAGGTTGATGCCAACAATACAAAATTACCAAAAGAATGTACTATTTTTATACCTTTTAATACTGTACTCCAAACCAAGGGTCTCTATCTCTAACCTTGTTAACTCAAGGGCAATATTGTAATTTTGTGGAAGAAAGGCCAATAATATTTAAGCGCAGAAAGCTTGGCCCCCCTCTAAATAATCCACAACGAAGAGCTAATTTTACAGGTCAAACAACTTCAGAGCAATCTATTTAAAGTGACAGCAATGCCACCAATTTAGCTAAAAACTTTAGGAAGAGTTCTGTTCACAAAATAGTAGGGATGGTCAAGTCTTGAAATTTCGGGAAATTTTCAAGAAATTTTAAATCTCGTTATACGAGACGAGATTTCTTTTTGGCCGAGATTTTTACCGAGACGGGAATAAAAAAAAAAAATAAAAAAAAAAATTTAAAACGCCTGCAGAAAGTCAATGCAATACCCGCAATACAGGAGCGTGTTGTAGTTGCGTTTCCTTTGTGAAGGCGTTCTTATTTAATTAATTCTTTAAATGTAAATATTACTTTAATTATTTTAATAATATTACTTTCATTATTTTAATAATATTACTTTAATAACATTTGAGAAGTTTTGTAAAGTGTAAGCAGTGTGAGGAATGTTTTATTACCTACTATAAAAAGTCAAAACAAGTAACTATTTTATAAAAATTAATATTGCTTTTATTTTATGATTTATTTTATTTTAGGATAAGTTGAACTCTATCCTAACTGATATCACTATGTTTCCTAATCGTAGGCATTTTTAATAAGTTAGGCGTGATTATAAAAAAAAATGTTATGCTGATGTTTTTTAATAAAAGTTTGTAAATATTCTTGCCTATTATCATTATTTTTGTATTTAAACAGTCATCTAACAATGTTACAAAATCAGGTAATAATTTTGAACGTGCATTTCCCGTTGTGTATGAGAAGGGAAATCCCGTCTCGATCTTGTCTCGAAATTTTATGAGAAATAAAAAATCTCGTCTCGTCTCGTCTCGAACTAAAAATCCAATCTCGTCCATCCCTACAAAATAGTCCCTTCCATAATAATTATGTATAGATACCTAATGATTTTAGAAGGAATACCGAAGTAGTAATCAAAATAATTACCAGACGTTATCATTTGTTTAATGATGTCAGAGTCCCCAGAAGGAATGTTTGAAAGAACCTCTTGTAGTGAGGAATGTGATGATGATGGAATGTTACATCCTTCTTGTGGCTCTACCTCCATTTGAAAATCTTCAAATGGGACCTACAACACCCATTAATCTCAAAACAAGATAGAGTTAAAATGATCTAGAAAATACATTGCTAGATAGCTTGAGCCATATAAGGGTTTAAAAAACAAATAAGTTCTTAATAGACTTAATCCTGTATTTGAAATAATGTTTACAGTGCAAGTATATCAAAACCTCAAATTTACTTCTCCGTTCAGTTCCAATTATTTCTTATTCATCAGTATTCAGAATATATATTGAAAATCAAAAACGTTAATCTACAAATACTAACCAATACTTGCTTGTCCTAAAATGACATTATTATTAGTAAAGGGGATAGCACTTAAAATGTGAAATTATCTCTTAAACTCATGAATATCAAATTAAGTTCAAACAGAATAGGAATCATGAGTTTCATTGAAAATAGGAAAAAACACAAGGGCAATAATCAATACAGAGACATGAACTTATAAAACTAAATAAAAAATAACAATTTAATCACATGCTTTCTTATATCCAGATCATGAGTGAAAGTCCAACACTCTCCCTCACAAATGATCTTGGTTAAGTCCAAGTTTTGTCACATGTCTTTCAAAATTAGGTTTTCCGAGAGCTTTGGTGGGAACATCAGCCGTCATTGATTTTGTTGGAGGATATATAAGTTCAATAGACCTTTCTTATTTTTTTCTCGAATAAAGAGTAATCTTAAGTTTATATGTTTTATTTTACACTGATGACAGGATTTGGTTACACTACTGGATAAAGTAGCCAGTCATATTTATCTACATCTTATGTATTGTTGTATTGTGTTTTCTTGTGGGAAATAAACTTAATTTATTCATTTTAAAAATTAGGCTGCATGATTATCATTGTAGATAGTTATCTTCTCATGAGAATCTCCCATTTCATGAATTAATTTTCTTAAGTGAATTGCTTCTTTAGTAGTTTCTGTGATTGAGTAAAATCATAGACAAATAGAAAAAATATAGACTGTCAAAGGACGGTTTCGGCACCCACCGCTAGGAGTGCCGTGTAGTTACGGCGCACACCGCTGCAGGCGAGGAGCGCAGGAGCCGTATGATACCAGACGCTGCAGCGGTGTGCGCCATAACTTCACGGCATCCCTGGTGGTGGGCGCCGAAACATATGCTAACTGCAGCACTGCTGACGGTCTATACAGGGTGTTGAAAATGTCTGGAACCAACATTATACCTGGTGAGTGGTTAAAGAAAAACAAATGATATTTTGTGTACGGATATACTATGGTTTTACCTATCTTTTGGTGCCTTATGAAAATTTTTACCACTTATAGGGAACGTCCTGTGGAGGATGCAGTAATAAGTTTAGATGGAAGCCTATGGTAAATGATACATCATTTTAAAGGCCATTTTTTTCTGAGTAAGGAGCCACAAGTTTCATCTCAAAAGGACCACCCTAGCAAAAATGACGACTGTTTGAAATTTAAATAACCACTTATAGGGAACGTTCTGTGGAGGATGCAGTAAAAAGTTTTCATTGAGGCCTATGGTAAATGATACATCATTTTAAAGGCCATTTTTTTCTGAGTAAGGAGCCACAAGTTTCATCTCAAAAGGACCACCCTAGCGAAAATGGCGACTGTTTGAAATTTAAAAATTCCGTTCCCTATAAGTGGTTTTTTAAATTTCAAACAGTTGCCATTTTTTCTAGGGTGGTCCTTTTGAGATGAAACTTGTGGCTCCTTACTCAGAAAAAAATGGCCTTTAAAATGATGTATCATTTACCGTAGGCTTCTATTAAAACTTTTTACTGCATCCTCCACAGGACGTTCCCTATAAGTGGTAAAAATTTTCATAAGGCACTAAAAGATAGGTAAAACCATAGTATATCCGTACACAAAATATCAGTTGCTTTCCTTTAACCACTCACGAGATATAATGTTGGTTCCAGACATTTTCAACACCCTGTATATATTCTATTTGTCTATGGTAAAATTTATCTTCAGCAGTTAAAAGGGGTGTACTCTTCTGTTTTCAAGATACCCAACTGACACTTCCATTTGCATACATGAAACTATATCCAGTGAATGATTTTCCGTTTGTTGACAAAGATCCCTAGTCAGCATCAGCAAATCTTGCAAGTGGTTTATTTTATTTTTCAAATTTGTATTTGTATTTGATAGTGACTTATCTTTTGTTGCTTGAAGGAACACATGCTTTGCAGCTTCCCTGTGCTTTTGAGAATAGCTATTGTTAAACTGGCTCAAATAACTGACAATATATGCTATGTCGGGCCTCGTTGCAACTGATAAAAACATCAGATTTCCTACCAGACTTTGATAAGGCTTGCTGACTGTTTCATTTAATGTTGGTTCTTAGAGTATTACTTTAGGACCCTGGGAGTTCCAATTGTCTTACAATCAGTCATATAAAAATTCTTAAAGACATCATCAATGTATTATGATTGTTTGCTATCAGGAGTTCCAATTGGCTTACAATTAGTGATATTAAACTTCTATAATACATCATCAATGTATTTTGATTGTTTGCTATCAGGAGTTTCAATTGGCTTACAATCAGTGATATTAAACTTCTATAATACATCATCAATGTATTTTGATTGTTTGCTATCAGGAGTTTCAATTGGCTTACAATCAGTGATATTAAACTTCTATAATACATCATCAATGTATTTTGATTGTTTGCTATCAGGAGTTTCAATTGGCTTACAATCAGTGATATTAAACTTCTTTAAGACATCATCAATGTATTTTGATTGTTTGCCATCAGGAGTTCCAATTGGCTTACAATTAGTGATATTAAACTTCTTTAAAACATCATCGATTTCTTTTTGATTGTTTGCTATCAGGAGTTCCCAACTGGCTTACAATTAGTTATATTAAACTTTTCTAGACATCATCAATGTATTTTGATTGTTTGCTATCAGTTTTCCTTCTTTTTGTTCAAATTTAATTCCTAAGCAATGGTTCAACCGGCGGGTGGATCCCGCATTTCAAAATGACTTCATCAGTTTGTTTCTTAATTTAATTTGTGAAATAATTCTTCGTTCTTAGAAGATGCAATGATGAGGTTATCAATTGAGATTAAACATGACAGTATGAAAATATAATGAACCACATATGTATAATATCGTACCTGTATGAAAATCACATGTTGTAAATTCTAACTAAATCACCTCTAAGAACCACTAACATAAGGAGGGTTGACAAAATACAACAAAATAGCCAAAATAGCAACTGCACTCAAATACGGCTTTTGCTACTTTCCTATCTCGTGGGGTATCTGTGTCTACTCATTTAATATATGCTACCCACCGTCATAAACACTAAAGCATATCGTATAAAAGGTTTTATACGATATGCTTAATGATAATAACAATAAGAATTGTTATTATAAAAAACAGATTCTGGGATAGGAAAATTTTTGAGAAATCAACGTCTCCTGAGGTCATGGAAAGTGAAAACATCATCATAGTTTTCTGCGATGGCAAAATTGTGAACAAATCCCACGGTCACAGAAACACCATCAATGACTTCCACAGTCAAATTCGTAAAATTTAAAGCGTAAATTTTTCGATTTTAAAATTTTCTGCAATCCCGAAGTAAAAGCTCAGCTCAACCTGGCCCATTTTAAATAAAATTCTCAAAATTTCAGTAAAAATCCAACTATTTGAATTGTTTATCATCCAAATGTGGTACAGTCCCAATTGATTTAGATAAATGGAGTTCTACTGTACTTATTTTATGATATGTATAAGTGTTGCACACTTTGACAATATTACGCTTGCAACAAAACTAGTCAGGTCAAGGTCAAAGTAACTGATATTTATTCAAACACCTTGTCATCAAATTTTTAATTTTCAGATGCAATAAAGTCCTACCGAAAGGTCGAATTCCTTTAGAATGTCAAAGTCACTGAGACTGAACCCTGATAGACTATTCTCACTGCAGGTGGGAGTTGCAGACGTCAAGTCACCGCTGCTGGTGCTGGGGTCAGACATGTTCCATTGTGTGACAGAAATGGGGACAGGAGGGCTGCTACGTCTTGGTCTCTTCCTATTCCTAATTTCATCTGAAAAACATATTTTGTATTATATAGAAAGAGTTTTATTCTAAAGCTAGATTAAACCAGGATTCCTTCCAGAGCGGTTAAATCAAATCAAATCAAAATTTTCTTTATTCATTGTATTAGTAAGATGTACACAAAGAGTACAGAATGGTGTCAACAAGTACTATTGTAAACTAGTAAGTACAAGTATATATATAATACAATCATATATATTAAAAAGTGACAGGTTTTTTTAATTTCACGATTTAAAATCAACCACTTGACGGATTTTCATACTTTTTGTGTTGAAAGAAATATAATTTTGAGAGCTAGAGAATGTCAAAGCCATAATTTTAGTTTAGGGTTTCAGTTTTTTTAGAAATTAAGTTTAAAATTTTAAAAAGTCTAGCAGCCGACGCTAGCTAAAGTTGTGTTAGTTACAGCGTTTATAACTAGAAAACTACTGAACCAATTGGCATGAAAATTTACAGGGATATTCCTTAGGTACTAGAATAACATAATAGCCTGTTTCCGTTTCAAAAACCCTTAAGGGAAGCGTCCTATGGCCCTTTGCAGTTTACATGTTAATCTTATGGAAGAATGTTTTATTTTGTTTACCATGCCATGTTTGTCATTTCTTGATTAAATTAAATTAAGGAAACAGCTGTTGTAATGATAACCTAATTTTTAAAAACAAATCTATGCATAACAAATGAGAGCTATCAAATAGGTTTCTATTCCATTTGTTTTTTACGAATATTTGTTGTCAATGTAACTGAAGGAAAGTAAGCGCAGCGAACGAGCTCCAACCTAAAGGTGAGTGAGCGTAGCGAACAAACTTCAACCAGGACGTGATTGAGCCATGCGAACGAGCTCATCTTGAAAATGAACGAGCATTTGACATAAAACCACATTAGGACAGGACGACGTCTGCCGGGCCAGCTAGTTTATACTATGTGTAATGCTATAATCATTGATACGTGCATTTATGGTAAGAGGATGAGAGATCATTTAAACATACATAGTAAAATAATAGATGTTCTAATGTATTTTTGAACAGTCTATAAAATCTTTAGTTTGTTTTAGTGTAATATAATTTGTTATAACCAACAGCTGGTTGAATATAAAAATATTCTAAGAACTATGAAGTTAGTTTATTTACTCTGTGATTTTGTCATTGATTATAGAAATTAAGTAAGATTCTATCACAATTGCTGTATACGAATCGAAGCTCACGAGTCTTCGAAAGAAAGCTTGTGAAAATTGTTTTACTACCCGAATTTTTTAGGACAGGTTGGGAAAGTAACAACAGCACAAGTTTTAATCAATCTTGGCAGCTTTTGCTTTACAATAAATTTTGAACTGCTTAAACTAAGCTTGAATTAGGAATAGACATATTGATATAACATAACTATATACAGTTTTAATGGACTACTCGATTCCCGTACGTAGGACGGGCCAACAGCTCGTAATAAATTAAAATTGTAATCGCTGTAAGAAATAAAATTAACTGTTACAGAGAACATATGCTAAAAAAATTCATTAAAACTGTACAAAGGTTTAACAATAATAAATTACTTCAATTTCTTTTTGAAGGACCCAAAATCAGTTATACATTTAGTGTTTTCTGGCAATGAATTATAAAATTTGATGGCTGAATATGTTGGCTTCTTCTCATAAAATGTTAGCTTATGTCTATTAAAACAAAAATTATTCTTATTCCTAGTTTCATATCTGTGGTTAAAACCTAGCATACAAAGACTATTTTGATTTTTTTTTATCCACAGAATCAGATCATAAATTAATTGGCCGCAAACTGTCATCTATATCTATAAAAGAGGAACTATGTATGTATGTATGTGTGTGTGTATGTGTGTATATACGTTATGGACTCCGAGACCGCTAGACAGATTGTAATGAAACTTTCAGGCATTGTTAAGCATCTTTCAAGGATGGTTCGAGTGAAGTTTGGTGCAGATCCGTCAAAAGGGCTCTGCCCTAGAGGGTTTTAAGTGGGCCAATGTCAGACTTTTTGATCCACTAGAAGGTCACATTGTTTTAGTTAGTAGAGTTTTCTTTTTATATTTTATCTTTTGTACATTTCATTATAAACTTGACTATTCCAATGCAATGTAATTTTGTAATTCTGGAATAAAGAACTTATGACTTATGACTTATGACAATGTTTACAAATGAATATAATTTAAAAGCAGATGTTTACTTTCACCAACTGTTTTGTAGGTTTGAATAATCACAACATTCTGTATTAGCATTAGTCATTATTTGAAATAGTGCCACAGTGTTTCTACAGAGTGCAGCACAGAAAACTATTTTACTTTTTAATAAGTCCAAATGTATTAAACCCCAATCGCAGCACACCTGTGCACTCAACAACGTTTAAATTCTCCAATGTTAAATATTAAAACATAAAAATCTTTATCAAAGTATTATGAACAATAAAAGAGATGACTTTTTTTTAATTTATGACAACAGTTAATTCGCAACCAAATGGTGAGTGAGCGTAGCGAACGAACATCAACCTGGAGGCGAGTAAGCGTAGCGAACGAGCTAACCTGAAAACAAGTGAGCGCAGCGAACGATTTCCAACCTGAAGGTGAGTGAGCGTAGCGAACGAACTTCAACCAGGACGTGATTGAGCCATGCGAATACTTATGAAGTTAAGCGGGGCAAAGCCCGCGGGTACAGCTAGTTATTCCTAAATTTAAAAAAATGTTCTCTGGCTGACTCAAACCACTTAAGTTTCATTATTATTCCTATTAGCTGTTGGCCCGTCATACGTATGGGAATAAAGTAGTCGATTATATCTTAATGTAATCCAGAACAGATATTTTACACACATAAAGAAAAATTGTGGCAGTTTTAATAGGGAAAATCGTCTTGTAAAGTAATACCACGTGGCCATCTATTTCTTTCATTTGATTACAGGTCTATACGATATGCATTTTAAATCCGATAATTTAACAATAAAACAGCGATTGTGTAAATTAGAAAAGCCTTGAAGTGGGATTGGCGGTCGATTCACACACACTGGTTTAAAGTACAGTAGCTAAATATAACCTTCCATTGCCTAATATTACTTAAAGGGTGCCTTATTTTACCTCAGTGGCCACTGAACCCTAAAGAAGATTTTGGCCTCTGATTCCCTTTATCCCTTGCCTCTTCTAATGTTGACCCCAGTCTGGAGAAGCCTTTCATTGCTTGGTCCTCCAAGTGGTCGTCTTACTTGTGGTGCTCCTTGGAATACATTTAAGTTGATGTATCTTCTCTCCACCACGCATAGCCTGTCCATCTGAGCCTTTAACTTCTGGAAATCACCTATATATCTGGGTGTTTAAACATTCCTCTTAGCTCTCTGTCCTTTCGTATCTCAACCTCCATTATCTTGAAAAGGACATGTATTTTCTTTGAACTTTATTCTCAAATCCAATAAGGGTTTTCGGTTCTTTGGCCAGGGTCTAAGTTTCTGAACCACAAAGTACTAATAGGGTATGGTATGAATCGAATTTGGTTTATAGCACACCCTGCAGCTTATTGGTCAGTTTTCTAGAGACCTACCACACCAATAGACATTTGCTTTACCAACCAAAAATCTGGTATGCCGAAATAGTTCTGACATAGTTCTGAAGGTGTTCAGTTAAATAGCATTCATTTAGAAAAAGAACTTGTCACCTGTAGAAGGGTTTTAAAACGTAAACACGCTAGTAAGGCTAGTGACGTAAATTTTCAAGGTTTATTATCCATATCGTTATCCGTTCTAAAATCCATGATAATTACCCACCCTCATTGAATATATTTACCTACATCTTAATTTCCCGTATTCATTTATTCTAACTATAAGATATTTAGTTAAAATAAAAAAGTCATTTTCCTACCATCAGCGCATCCACACGTAACCACTCGTAACCACACATGAACACGCGAAAAACAACTTTCTAGATTTTACAAAAGGTTAGTAAGTCTACTAACTTGCAGTATCCTAGGTCTATGATACCATTGTGTTTCATCTATGTCCATCCATCTGTTTATCTCTGGATAAAACCTGTCAAAGGTTGTGGTAATAATTTAAAATCACTATTCCTGATCATCTTTGATCTCCTTGTTTGATAACATCAATATTTTCAGGCCTAATTCAAACAAAGTTTAAGCAGTCGAACATTTATATTGTAAACAAAAAGCTTTCCTCAAAAAATAGAGGAGTAAAACAATTTGCATAGTCTTTTCTTTAAAGGCTCTTGAGTAGAGCCTCAATTTGTATACAGCAATGGTTTTACTTATCTCTGTGGTCTACTCATCTCTACTAATCTTACTTATTTTCTATCAATGGCAAAATCATAGACTTAAAAAAATAACCTCATAGTCCTATAGAATATTTTTATATCCATCCAGCTGTTAGTTCATGTCAAATTATATTGCACTAAAACAAACCTAAGATTTTAAAGACTGCCATAAAACATAAATTAGAACATCTAGTATTATTATGTATACAGTAGACTCTCTCTTATCCGGATACCTTTTAACCGGACATCGGATTAACCGGACTACACGGCGGAAATGACATCTGTTTAACCGGACAATTTTTATCAGCACATCGGTTTAACCGGACTAGATCGGCAGGAAGTGGGCAGTACTGAAACGACTGTTCTCGTGGGAAAGATTTGAGACCAGTGATCACGTGTCTAAATACAATGCTCTCCTAAATGTAAGTCGAATATCACAGTAAACAGTCCATTTAATGAGTTTTTGGGGACGTCGGTTTTACCGGAAAACCCGTTATCCGGACTGGCCTCGGTCCCGAGGAGTCCGGATAAGAGGAAGTCTACTGTATTTAAATAATCACACATGCTCTTGTCGAATAAATTAACGTATTATAGCATTACACATAGTATGAATACGTCAACCCTACGTATTTAATTTAGTTTTTATCCAAATGCTGAATTTGTGACACAAACTCTGAATGTTTACAGCTGTTACGTTAAGCAAATGGTATTATACCAAAAGCTTGTCTAGAATGTTAGCGTCGGCTGCTAGACTTTTTGAAAATTAAAACTTAATTTCTAAAAAACTGAAACCCTAAACTAAAATTATGGCTTCGACATTCCCTAGTTCTCAAAATTATCTTTCTTTCAACCATACATACGACTACATAGGTAGCATAATTACGACTATAAACATAATTCAAATCATATTATTTAGAACTAATTAGAATACATCAAAAAAGGAGCAAGTATATAATAACTTCACAACTAATTACGATTATATACTATCAATTATTGTTAAACTGGCACTGCAGAACAGATCCAATTCCATCGTTTCATTTGTCCAGTCAATGCTACATAACACCGCCGACCCCATGGGCTCACAAATTTAGGATTTTGAAATACAATCTGTAACATTGTAAGCACCATTTCATACTAAAAATTAATCTATTGAACTGGTTCCATTTTCATAGTGAATAAGCACAGTTTTGGCAAAATTTTGCACGTTTGCGGCAATACCCGGAGTTGGACCAGGGTGGGGATGAGTCGCGGCGTTGCCACATCGAAGGCCGCGGCCTTATACTACAGACGGTTACGGTTAAGCCCTTATTGAGTAAATTGTTAGTCAAACACACGGATCTTCGCTAGTCTTCTCAAAAATGCTGCTATAAGCAAAAAACACAGTAATAGTATAATGGGATAGCAAAAACCAATACATCAATACAAAGTTACGTTGGTTGGACTGACATCTTGCTCTAGAACACTGTGTTGTACATACCTCTCCATCGTTCTGGGTCTGGAGTATATTCAAACTCCTTTGGCTCACTTCTACCATGATTTGATGGCCTCTCCAGTTGAAAGTACACTTGCACATTATCTTTTATGTCCGTATTTCTGTATCTGGGGGTTCTAAAAAATAGATAAACCAAGTTAATCTACAGTTTCAAAATTTTAGATGTATAACCTACTTTTTCTCCTACAGAATCAATGGTCATTAGAACATGAATATTACAAGATTAAGAAAAGAAACTTGTACTTGACTTGGTCCATTAATTTAATTTCCTTAGTATGGTTTATTGCTTAGTTTATAAATTAACTGTAATTAATTATGAATTTAAAAAGGACTACACTAACCTAAATGCAATTGCATATTGAAAATGAACATCATCTTCATTCAATTCTGCATCTGCATGCCATATTTCTTCTTTATTGTCATCAAGTTCAAAAAATCGAACTTTAATGTCTTCTGAAAATCAGTTGAGTTAGTTTCAGCACAACAAACAAGCTGAAGAACAAAAATTATTTACTTCAAATTAATAGCTAAACCAACATTAAATCATTAGTTATCGGTATGATGGATAAAGGAACTTTGGATATGGACAAAAATTACTACCACGGGGATGAGAAAAAATTAATCTTAACGAGAACCTACAGTGAGACTTACCGATAAGAGTTGCCAAATTAAACAATACTGTTAGTCTGTTATTTATCGATATAATATTTACATTAATTTGTGTTTTTTCAAATGGGTAGCTTCCGAATTATAAAGATACAATTAAAGTGGTTTAAATTCCTGTAATGTTGAGACCACTTGGATTGTCAACATTATAGGCATTTAAACCACTTTAATTCATTTGTGTAGTAATTAACGATAACACTGGTTTACACACTGGACAGTATTTTCCACGGCAGTAATATCCAGGACCAACTAGAAAGGGCCGCGCAATTTCACCTGCATGCAACTTCCGCTGGCGCACCTTTGTTAGTTTATATTTCATTGTTATTTCGTCACCAGCATGGGTTGCCCATGCAAATTTTTTTTTTAATTTTACATTCATTTTTCGTGCTTATTTTTGAATCTATTTGAATTTATAAAGGAATTCTGCACACCTACAGAAAAATATCTTTCTTACAGTATGTGCAGATGTTCACGAGCTGAGAAAAAAGGTTTTAAAGAAACATGCTTGCCTATTAATATATAGATTTGTTTTCATCTGTATTTTCCATATCTGTATGCGTATTGTTTTAAAGTTTCTGCCTGAAAACACAATACAAAATTATATAGCTACAATTTTGAAGAAAACACAGCAAACCTTCATACTCAGTGAATTTCAAATGGATATTAATATGTACCTCAGTACGGCACAAAGCCACCTACCATTTTTCATTAAAATATATTCATCTCACTTCCTGACCAAGGTAGAGTAATAATATTATAAATATTGGATTCCATGCGCCCAGATTGATCTGGCCACAGCTGTGTCAGGCCAGCGACGTCACAGAGCTATACCCCACCCCCACCACAGTGAAGCAGCACCATGCCAAGATCAAAGAAGAGGCGTAGTTCTTTTCTAGTTGGCCCTGGGTAATATCACTGTTGCAAGTTCATGTTGAGAAAATCGATGTCCTTACACATGTATCGGTTAAAATACCGCCACTCATATATATCTAGAAAAATACCACCAACTTCAGCAGCTACACACATTTTTGTGTGTGTTTGTTATTTATCGAGTCCTTTTATAAATAGCTTTGTGTAGTCCGGCTTCCCTGTTTTATGATAAATGTTAAGTTATTTTAATGTGCATTTTAAATGAATAAGGCAACCACTTTTAGCACTTTTTTTACACCGTCAAAGGAAAAGAAGACAACAGGATGATTGCCTTTTTTCGGCTCATCCCACAAACGTAAGTAGAAAAAAAGTTAGCACATTTTTAGTAAATCCTTTGTCTATTGCTAACTCACACATTTTCTATAAAACATTAACAAAACGCCCCTACACAATTTAATATTCAAATTGAAGATGTCTATGACGCTGTTGACAACTTCTGGTCGACTGAGGAAATGATAGAAAACCCACCAAATGTGTAAACGACCATTTGATCACGTACGGCAATGTGTGGACAAGAGCGGCAGAAAAACCGCCTACTGCATTGGCAGTGGACAGCTGCACATAAGCCGCGAACGGCAATATCGCTCTTGCCCCTCATGTAAAGGTGTGTTTGTAATCTTCCATTTAAATCTATACAAACTAACTGCTAAAACGACAGCAATTGCAATTGAAAATAACAAGACATCCACGTCTCCAGCAAAAGTGTCAAATATCCTCAATATTAAAATTCCAAATTCAGTAGAGTAAGGCCGGGGCCACACTTGTAATTTTTAACCACCGAGACTGTTTTTCCCGTTTTCACGTGCGACGCACGTGAAACAGTTTGCCCGTGGCCACACTCGTCTTACGAGATAGGTTTTTCGGGCAAACCAGCGAGACTGATAGAGCATGCCACACTGGCAATAAAAATCGTCCGTGTCCGTGATACGCACTCCCCCCCCTTCCACGCTTTCTGTACAGGTTAAAACTAGAAACGTCCGTGGAAAAAGTTCAGCGAGATAAGATGAGTGTGTTCACTCCCATAAGCCGCAATGCCCCGCGACTAGTTTTACGTGCAACGCCCGTGGGATGTTAGTAGAGAATACACGTGCAATTCCGTTTGTCAGTCTCGCTGGTAAAACCAGTGAGACTGACAAACGCGTTCACGGACGTTTTTACTCTAGTGTGGCCTGCCCCATATACCGTAATGTATCTCTCAAACCCACGGGTAACGCCCGTGGAAAAAATTCAGCGAGATAAGATGAGTGTGGCCCCGGCCTAAGTGAGAAAGTTTCTAGGACTTGTAACTTATTATTCAAAATTGATTCAAGCTGCTTCTACGATAATTTACCTGCTTTTACTCATAAAGAATAAACCATTTAACTGTACAAAAAATTGTGAGAAAGCTTTCATCAATATCTAGAAGGAAATATGAAATATAGCCTCAGATGAAGTGATAGTTCCTTTTGACCCAAACCTTCTCGTATCCGTAGCCTGTGATGACAGCTCACATGGGATCTCAGAAGTGTTACATTATAACGGAGAAGAAAGGCTCATTGCATTCGTCTCCAGCTCACTTCCAAAATTGGAGTCCCAATAAAGTCAACTTGATCGTGAACTTGGAGTCGCTATTGTGTATTCTATTGGAAATTTGTTTTACTAAGTCTATGAAAGAAAATTTTATTTGAGAACAGATAACAAACCACTCACATGAATATTTCACCCAAAGAATGTTTCTCCATTGACAGCTGGTCGACTTTTAAATAAATAATAAATAAAAATGTATTTATTTGCTAGCGTTTCTCTGATACATATTAGTTTTCCAGAACAACTATTGTCATTAAACGACAGTTTATGCTATTCAGTTTTCCTCACAGGATTTGAACATCAAATATCGGAAATCAGACTAACACCTAAACGTAGACTTTCTATCCAGAACTTTTCAAACAACAGAGTATATTGGTATCAACAGAGCGTTGAGTAAAGAAGAAGATGAAATAGAACAGAATTCAATCCTTCGCTTCAAGTTTCACCTTTTTTTCTCTCATGTTTTAGATGAGCTTCTTGCAACACACGTATAGGAGTTGTGAGAAAGAAACTACTCGCAAGACTTCACTGTTGCCAATGCCCGGAATCGACAAAGACATTGAGCATAAGGCTCGATCATGCACAACTTGCGCTTTACAATCAAAGAAAACAGCCAGCAAAAGTATTTCAACCTTGGGAAATCCCTAAGGAAAATGCTAAAAGAGTATGGACTATGCAGGACAATTTAATAGAAATCCCTTCCTAGTTGTGATTGATGCTAAATCTAAATGGCCTGAGGTGTGAATAACCAAAAACACACCATCCACAGCTATGACAATAGAATTTCTAAATGACATCTTCTCTACACGTGGGTATCCTGCTGTACTAGTTTCTGAAAATGCCAACATTTTTATCAGCCAAGATTTTACAGAATTTTGCCAACAAAGAGGCATACTTCAAAAACTTATCGCCCCAGGACATCCACCAACTAATGGGTTAGCGGAACAATGTGTGCAAATGTTGAAGTCATCTTTGAAAAAATGTGCTGAAGATTCCAGAAAGAATATTAAATCAAAATCACGAATTCAAGACATAATGTTTTACTACCGAGCTGTACCTCTTCAATGCTGAGAACCACTGGCAAAACTGTATCTGAAACAATCCGAACAAAACTAGATGCTCTTATACCACCTAAGAAAAACGCATCAACACATCCACACTTTTAACTAGTACGCTGCTCATTTAAAGTGGGGTAGAGAATATTGGTGCATTCCATAGACAGTTGGAAGTTCGGAAAAGTTATCTTTTAACTTGGAGCTCTGCAATAAGTCAAACTTGACAACATCAATTGTTACATTAGCAAGCGACACAACAATCAATTGAAGAGAACAACAGTGCCCGAAAACACCAGACAGCACACACTCCAGCTCATCTCCTATAAAATAAAATCCCAGTTCTCAACAACAGAACGAGACATTCAAGGACAATGATCTGGAAAATGCAGAGAACAGGCTTTAACCCCGTGAAGATAATAATGCTAAAACAGATGACAATGTCCCAACAGATGTACTGCATAAATCATCCAGAACTAGAAAGCAACCATAAAGAATGGACTTGTGAATCAATTTTAGTGGGTAAGAAACTGTTGTATCTCTGTGTTCCCTGCAATCTGTACCAACTGCTATGCTTTTTATTAGTTATTTTTAATCATCTATCATTGTTCTAATGTGTTTAAATTAATGTTAATAAAATATCAAAAAAATATCACCAGTGTTAAAATTAGGCTTATTCAACTTGTACTTATTCACACTATTTTTAATATTCAAAACTTCTAATACATAACATGAACCATGCCATAAAGCAGATTAAATACTTACTTTTGTTCACCTTATCCACAAATATGAACACTTCTTCTTTGCCCAGACACGTCCCTGCTATCTTGTCAATTCTACAGATTTTCAAATCATTGAACTGCGCATTTTCTGGAGAGTGGATATAATATATTATGCATGGATTGTTAAAAGTAAAACAATAACGTATGTGTTAAGGATGCAGCTAACACACAAAACTTATACCAGTGTCAAAAAATGCCCAAAATGAGTTTTAGATGGGTTCCATAATGTTCAGTGTTCAATATGTTGAATTGTAAAATATTTACAAAGGCAAATAATATTTATACAAGATATAAATACATCTTTCATTTGTATAGTATTTTAAATAGGGGTGTGCGAATAGTGATTTTTGGGTTCGAATCAAATTGAATTGAATACTCCATAATATTTTCGAATATCGATTATTACCGAGCAAATATTTATGTTATTATTATAGACTCCAAAGAGTTTTCCAATCACAGTTTTGGAACTCTACTAAGGTTAATAATTCTGATTTTAACCAATGTAACATTTTAAAATAATAAATTTTTGCCCTTACATAATATGTTATTTGTTCTTGGTACAAAATGGTACAGGTGTTCTTGGTACAGGGCTTCCAGTATTTTTCTCATTTTATTTAATTGATATTACTATAAAAATGAATAATTTCCTACATTTATGGTTTTCTAACAACAATTATGGTATCACACATTATCAACACCTTTGACTCCTAACATGATTATGTCGAGGAAAAAAACAGATAAGATAAAGGCTTAACCTATTTTACTACTCAGATAGGTCATAGCCATAATAAATTAGTTAAAAATTAGGTAAAGAATTTTTAGGAATAAACATGATTGCAGCAACATTTTGACAAGATAATGTAACACGACTGGTTACTTTTTCCCAACCAACAACAATAACAGGTTGTTTAATTTAAACTTTTAAAAACATAAATGCATTTAGTTAAGGGTCTGCGGTGCACCGAGTACTATCCTAAAAGGCAAAACAATAGAAGGGTGGGATGCGGGGTAGTTGTAACAGCTTTGATTTATGCTGTTACAAATAATTTATTAAAACTATCCTTCCAAAACTCGTGACCTAGAAAATGACTATTAAGAAATTATTGGTTGGTGATTAAACTACATAAATCAGAAATAGCTAAGAATTTACTGAGAAGAACTATGGAATCCTTCTGGGGAAAACAAGTTGCCCTATTCATGTTAAAAATGGCCTTCAGTCTCGAACCGTAATTAGTTCCTACATAATATCCAATGTATAGATATATTTATGTGTGTGTGTGTCCGTTAGCGCGATAAATCAAGCAAAAATGATTTGATTTTGATTAAATTTGGTACAAACGTGTAAACCTACGTTTATTCGAACGAGTCCGCGAACCAGCATAATCGGACCATGGGAACCCAGGGGTTTATGGGGTTTTCCCATTTTGACCCGAAAAACCAAAAAATAGAGCTTAAAAAAATAAATACAGTAATTTAGAATATTGAAGCGCTGTTGTATGCCTAACGGTAACGGAGAAAATTAAAAAATAGTGTAATATAAAATTCCCATGTTATTCTTATGGGGAAAACTAAAACTGTTGTAGTTTACTTGTTATAGATATACATTGATAAAATTTAGCAAATTTATTTATTTCATCCTATAATATTGACGTGTTTTTAACTAAAACTGTTGTAGTTTACTTGTTTATGGATAGGCCTATATATTGATAAAATTTAGCAAATTTATTTATTTCATCCTATAGTATTGACGTGTGGTCAAAAAACACTCTTTACCTTCCCTGTAGCAGCAAACCTAAGCACTCTTTAAATCTAATGTTATTTAAATTGGGAATAAATTTTATATCTTATTTATGGAAATATTTTAGTAAAAATGTAATCATATAAGTTGAAATTTGCTTAATCTGCGGGTTTGCTGCGGCGGGTGTATTATAAAATATAGTAATACCTAACAAAAAATGTCTAACATAGAGCTTGTTCGACACTAAATGAGCGGCAATACCACCGCTCACACAGGCAAAGATATACGGTGCCGGGAGCCATTTAGGTTAGGTATCGCTGTGACGTCACAGCGGCGGAGTGGAGGGGAGCCAGCTGGCATCACTTTCTAAGCTCGCGTGGCCTAGCCCTTACTGTAGGTCTCCCCCTTTACCTTGCTAACTAGCCTGACATTATTACTTAATTTCAACCATATAGTTATTCTAGGACTTGGCCATTTGGTGAAGGTTTCTTGGTGAAGGTTTCTGGAGGGGCAGATGTTGAGAGCGGTTTTCTTGAAGTTAGATGACAAAGTGGGAAGAGAATTGGAAAGCAGGTGGGGGAAGGCGTTCGCTTGCTCGCGGTCATGCAGCCCTGCCACGCGAAGCGCTGACACTATAAGAAATACCTATAGCGTGCTGCTATGCATCACAAACTTCATGGTAATTTATTGAAATTTGTTTACCCATGTATTGTGGTGATAACTTAAATATTTGTAAATTGTAATCTACAGGTTTGATAATATTTTTATAGGCTGGTATTGCAATTATGTTTAGTTTGGGTCTCCCTAAAAGTGGTCAGGGTAACATGCTATTTTTAAAATATGGTGATCGTAAAAAGATATACCGGTAACCTAAAATTTTATTAGTAGTTAGTAGTTTTTTTTTATTTTCATAAAAAATACTTACTCATATTTTTGATGGGTTTTGAATATATTGGTTGGCAGATACTAGTGTAATGCGGTTGGCCAATCCTGGCTCCTAAAGCTTCAAATTTTAAACAGGCAGTGTTTAGTCTGTTTACAGTCATACTTTCAACATCTTTTTGGGCTTTTTCCAATAACTGAAATCATTTAAAACAAAATATAAACCGAAGAAAGTTGAGAAAATGGCTATCCTTTTGAAAGCCATTAATGTTAATACATTGTTTGAAAAAAAATTTTGGAATTTAAATTCTAGATTCATGTGTGTTTTGTGTGAGTAAGTGTACTGATCTGAATGTAACAGAAGTTTACATCTTGAGCACCAAACACTGCCATACAATTGGTAGGTACTCCAGCAGCTACCAAGTTACCAACAAATCAAATCAAATCATATCAGCTAAAATTCAGCTGATCATACAAAATCAGTTTACTGTTCAAGTGGGCGGAAAATGAAATACCCTTGTCGCAGCAAACCTGCATAGTAAGTGAAATTCTAAAGGAAATGAAAGCTAAAAAGGTATGGCTACATTATTCCATAATCATTACGAGATGGGGATGCCACCTAGGTGCGTATTTTAACCCAAATATGAGTGAAGGACGAGTGTAGAATGTTGTGAGATGATCTGTGTAGCTTTTTTACTGACTAAGATCAGCTGTTTCTTCAGTCAGGATTATTTTTTTAATTGAAGCCCAATGATCAGAGTCAACTGGGTCCAGTTTCGAACTATCAAAATGCTAACATCTTTGTTTCTTAGGATAAAACCAGCGACTTTTTGATTGTTTGGCGAGCATTTTAACCCCTCAGCTACCCAGTACAGATAGTGATGAAAGGAGAACTCTCATCAGACAAACATACAGGTCACTCTGTGTATGCTCCCTGACATTTGGCACCAACGTAGGGATCAAAAATCATTCTTCAGAATCTAACTAGCGAAATTCATTGATTTATATTTTATTTTTAACTGTACACAATTAATTGTTCTTGAAGATTAAACTTACTTCTTTTTCATCATCTTCTGTGAAAATAATGATCTGCATTGGATTTGTTAACCATTTTTGTAGATGTCTCTTCTTTTTGTTTACCAATTCAGTTACCTGATCATCTTTTTTAATGAACAAGATCGTCATGTTACCAAACCTGAAAACGTCATACTTAGTCAGATACAACGTTATGTGCTTGTGTGTTCATCTATCTATATAATACGCTAAGCTGATTTTTGTGAACAGAACTCCTCCCTCATTTTTGGACCGATTTTCATGATTAAAGTGTCAAAAAAATTGCCCTAATCTTTAGTTTTGCAAAGTGTTTTTCGTTTTTTGATATCTTTGGGCAGGATCTTCCATCAAAGTTGGGTTTTCTCCCATAAGATTAACATGGGGGAATCTAAATATTTAATTGGAAATTTTGTCTCCACTAATTGAGAGAACAGCTTGGCATAGAAACTTGGTAGAGGTGTCCAAAGAAAGGTCTTGGTCTGTAGATGAGATATCAAAAGAAAAACTACTAAGTAAATTCGTTTAGGGCTCTGTCCCAGAAGCCTTTAAAGATCCCTCCACAGATTTTTTTACATTTTGGTCATGTGTGGATAACACTTTTTAATAAAACAGCTGTTAATTTTAAAATTGTATTTCAAACTACACACATTTATTGGGAGTTACTTAATTGTCCAAAAGAAGTATTTGTAAAGTTATTTTCTGATTCTAAAATTGATTTTCTTCTGTGTCAAGTCATGTGTTGTAATATACAGTTCCATTATGAAATCAGTGGAAAATCCTTTTATCACAATAACTCTTACAAATATTTCTTATTGAACTATCTTGTATCTATTTTACAGGTTGGTGTCTGCCTTTTTCACACCTTTTCCCTATTAGGCCAGTAAAAATAGGTTTTTGCTTGGAAATAATTCCCGGAAAGCTGGAAATCGTTTTAATCCTTTTGTTTTATAGAGAAGTAAAATAATTTGAAGTTTGTCCCATTTTCCCAGGTGAGCTTCTGACCTGGGACCACAAAAACCTTGAAATTTAGGGCTACTATTTAGTTTTTGCTAAAACGTCAAAAAACCGTCTAGCCGACAGAAAAACACATCATAATGGAATTGTAGAGCATAAAATTCTGCATCCATTGAGTATCTGTTGATGAAAATCGAATCAACAATAAGAGATTTATAGCAAGTCGAATAAAGTTATTATTTTAATAAATAACAGAACATTGCATTTATTTATTCTATTTTATTTTATTTTGCTTATTGATGTTGGTAATACTGTTCTCAATAGTATAATTAAACATTGTAATTCTCCCGAATCATCAACTATACACCTCTTGAAACCATAGGTAAAGGGCAGTCCAGTAATACTTTTTATTCCCCAATGACCTTCAAATACTCTTCGACCGTTAAGAGCAAAAACCTTTTTTTTACACGTATTTAGTGGCTGAGATACAACATCAGCCTTCTTCGGGCAGGGCAAAATGAAATTTGTTAAGCTTGTGGAAAAGGACAACCAACCACATTATGTGTATACTGTGTTTAACAATCCGCTTTCGACACCACTCGAAGTAAGTGCTGCAGGGCAAACATTTATTGTGACCCTGTACAGTACCAAGTATAAAAAAGGCACACCGCTACATCAAATACAATATGAAATGTTTGCGAAGAGATTACTGAAGTCTCAATTCAACCTCGCTTCTCTTCCGCCCACCGCAGATGCAGCCAGTCAACATTCATATCGAGCTTTCCTTCAAATTAACATTTGGAATGGGCGGCAGGCAAATCCTACCGATTGGGGATGGAAGTCGTCTAAACATGGGATACTTCCAGTTCCAACAAATGTTGATGCTGCACCACCAGAGCTTCTCAACACAATCTCGTGCAAGTGTGCAAAAGGGTGTAAAGGTGGTTGGTTGCACTTGTAGAAAGAGTGGAGTTAAATACATGACAATTTGTTACAACTGTAAAGGTGTTTCTTGCACCAATACACTAGAGGAAGACGATCTACAAATCTATGACGTGCAATGTGACGTGGATGAGATGGACAGTGTAGAGGAGGAAGAAGTAAGACCTGAAATTCAAGATTCACGACAAAAGAGGCGCAAAATCTAATGATTTTTTTGTAATTTATATTAAATACTTTGTAAATAATAGTGTACTTTGAATCGATTTTATAGATGTAATATAAATGTTTGAATATGCCATTTTCAGTAATTTCTTAATAAAAGTACTTTATTTAAATTACTGTAAATCACTTATTTTTGGTTCAATTTTCATCACCAGGCACTCAATGGATGCGGAATTTTGTGCTTTACAATTCTTGTACGATGTGTTTTTCTGTAGGATTCATAGTTTTTTTTTTACATTTCAGCAAAAAACTAAAAAATAAACCTAAAATTCAAGGTTTTTGTGGTCCCAGGACTGAAGCTCACCTGGAAAAATGGGACAAACTTTAAATAACTTTACTTTTATATAAAACAAACACATTAAAACAATTTCCAGCTTTCCGAGAATTATTTCCAGGCATGGCCAATTGTTTAACTAATTTTACTGGCCTATATATTTTATCACATTGTTCTAGACAGATCATCATAGGTTCATGAGATTATTGTCATACATGCTTTCAATCATTGAAAAAATCTTCGATTGTGTAATACAATACAAAATAATACAAGTGCAGAAGAGCACGGTGCCCATTTGAGCCGTGTCCATATTTTGTTAAATGAATAGTGGTTTACAGCAACTGGATAAAACATTTTACAATATTTATGTAGAAATATGTGCATGATTAAGAAAGTCATTAGCTGGAAAACTGCAATATACTGCAGAATTTTCAGTGAGGTTACTTTGATGTATTCATTCAGCTTAGTGAAAACATAATATAGATATGTATACTAATAAGAACTCTTAGAGAGCTTTTGAATGTTATTAGACTAACGAAAAGGGTTGTGCATGTTTACTAGCGCTACTCAGCAAAAAAAAAAAAAAAAACCATTTAATTTATCTCTAAAAAATATATTCTTAAAGTGCACTGAACAGCAGCCTAAAAAAAAATCTACGTAAGTTACAAAATGCTCAAACTCGCATTGTGACATTTATAATTCGGCTTATATATATTTCTCCAACAGATAATTCATCTGCAGAAGAATTTGATTGTGCTCTTACCGTGTCTAATAACATCCAAACACAGAAACCTTGCCTAAAATGGTACCTATCTTGACAAACTAGGCAGTGGCCTACATATGTAACGAGTCAAATGGGTAGGGGGGTAAAAAATATAACGATCTAGACCACGAACATTAAACAGCTAAACATAAGCTGTTGAGTAAGCCTAGTCGCGACGCTAAACTGACGTCGTACCTAACCTCCAATTCCAAGACCGCAGACGACGTTGGTGTCAGTTTGGTTGTTTGGCTGTTCGACTGCATCTGAGGCCGGGCTACGGGAGAGAAGATGAGCAGCGAGGTCACCTTTGAGCGGTACGCGGCTGTAAGCCTGTTAAAGCTGCCATGCGCCTGCCTTCGCTGCCAGTTTTTTTTTTGTTTCGGTAACTCGTTGACCAATCAGGAATCGTTTTAACTTTCGTCTCGATTCTGAGACGAAGGTGAAGTAAGAAGAAGTTTTGTGAAGTTTTCGTCATTCGTATTCCCGGCTTTTGAAGGATTCGCTAATACGTCTTTTCGTCTTCGATTTGAAGAGTTTTGTTCTTTTTCGTTCGTCGCTTAAAAGTTCGCCTACATTAAGTTCGTGGTGCATCGAGTGTGCTAAAAGTGTTTTACTGTAGTATTGCTTCGTTTGGTAAGTTGTGTAAAACTAAGACAACTTAGGTTTTTCTTTTGTCACTTGTGTTTCGGCAGAACTTTGTCGAAGTTCCTAGGCTAGGCCTGATTCGCAGACCTCGTCCTACGCTTTAACCAACTCATTTAATTAAAGTATCGGAGTTGGTGACAGATCATTTCGATTAACGTTTCGTAATCCATATCTGGGACTTTCTTTTTAAATTCTTAAACCCCTTTATAAAGTTCCCGAACGCCCCGAAGTTGGCCCCAGCAGACAGGTTTCTGCTTGATAATTATTGCAGAAGTTTGCTTAAGTTGAACACGTGGGGAAGTTGAAGTTTTAGTTTTTCTTTTTTCGTATCAGCTCTTGAAGCAGTTTTATTTTTAGTTTCAGTTTTTCTCCCGTTTCGTGTCTCACTTGGACAACTTAAGCCAACTCGTTTTCTTGTCTAGTAAATTCAGACTCTGTGGGAGTTAGGCTAGGTTAGGCCTATCTTGTACTAACCTTGTTTGTTTCAGGGTGACGACGTAACTCCGTAGGTAAGCGGAGTGCCTACTTAGCTTATTTGTTGATTTGTTAAGTTAGCTAGTAGTGTGTCATTTAGATATTTGCCCACAGAGTCAAGTCAAAATTATTTATTTCCCCACAAGCCCTAGGCTAGAGTGGTGATTTCGAGTAGGGTGTTTAGTAACCCGCAACGTTCGTCTCGAGCTCTGACAACCAGGGCTATCAAAGTTAGGCTATCCGAATCACTATCGGCTCCTGGGAAACTCCCCGCGACCAGACTAGGGCGAATCCTGGGATCTCGTTTTCTTACCGGTGGCGTAATTTACCTCTTGTCGTCCGCCAGGAAAATTACGTCACATAAATGGCGCCCGAAGCAGTTGGACCAGTGATTGGATAGTCTGATAGTACTTGGTGAGCTCAAGCTAAGATCGCTGTAGCAGCTGACGTCGAGTTGTAAGATTTTAGCCTACGTTAACCGCTCTAGCCTTTCAAGTATTCGCCTAGGCCTACTGTTATTTTTTATTCTACGTTAACGTTCTAGCCTAGCATTTCTAGTTTATTAGGTAGCTTAGGCCTACATATTTTCTGGTTTCGTCATTGTAGCCTATTGCTAGCCTAGGCCTATTGGTGTTTAGCGTTAAATATTTTAGCCTATTTGTGTGATAGCCTATTTATTTTAGGTAAAACGTTTACTTTATAGTAGCCTATTGCATTTTAGCCTTTTATTATTGGATTTTGGAGCAGTTTGGACTTGGTCCTATTTTAACAAATTTTCTGGGTTTTGAGTACCTAGTTGGGACTTAGGTTGGTAAAAAAAAAAAAAAAAAATTTTTTTTTTTTTAAAGTGGTCTTGTTTGGACTTATT